GAGAGAGAGAGAGAGAGAGAGAGAGAGAGAGAGAGAGAGAGAGAGAGAGATAGGAAGAGAGACAGAGAGACAGAGAGCGAGAGAGAATAACGTGGGGAGAGGGACAGTAAGACAGATGGAAACACAGGAGGAGAGTGAGAGGAGGAGAAAGTTTTCAGTTGACTCACAACTTTTTCCACCAAATGACGTCACAAGAGTGATGGATCACAGGAAATTCATTGTTGGGTCAACCTCCAATCAAGTTTTCAGTGTTTCAAAATTGGGGTTAGATAGGTGGGTTGGTGGGGGGATTCCACACTCTACTTTTTATTGGATGGTGAGCTGAGATTTCTAGAGAACACTTTTCTGTAACAAGAGGACACCCACTCCCCTCCCCCCTCCCCACACAGTTTCCTGTGTCTGACAAATTAACTAACAAAACGCTGATAAAAACAATTCCAGGACATCACCATTTTTTTCACCATTATCTGAATTATCATCATTTCATTTTTTTTCACTATTGACTGTTAATAAAAATTCAACATTGCGGGGCAAATCCACACCCATAGTAAGAGTCTTACAGCACTAGCAACACAAATAAGGTCATATATGTGCCAAAGATTATAGGTGTTACAAGAGAGTAACATATATAAAGAAAAGAAGGAAGAGAGATAAGGACCATAGATGTTTGATAGGAAAGAAGGAGCAAACCACACCAGAGCACCCGTCAACCACCCCATCTTTACACACAAAAAAAGCTCTCGATTGACACAAAGACAGAGAACAGTTTTCGAAATGTTTTATTGTCGCTGCAGGACAGACTTTTCCCCAACAATATGGGAATTTTTTATTTTGTCCCGAACAATTTGGGAATTTATTTGATTTATTTTCACAATGGCGTAGTAACTTGGTGCAACATGGCTGACCCACATGTTCAAGCGGTCGACACATTTGGCTTCTGGCAGATCAAATGAACAAACACATCAATGTCACTACACACTCTGCTTACAAACAATGTGTAATTATATATAGCAAACAATGTGTAATTATATATATATATATATATATAACACACCACGTATACGACCAATACTTATTCCAACAGCTCAGTGTAAGAATCTGCCATACGTCATTCTGGAAAGTGACATATGACGGTAGTCTTTCACAGAGCAGTACATTTACACTCTGCCCACACACATGTATGACTCATGAAAATCCTCATTTACACACTGCATACACACACACACACACATACACACACACACACACAGACACACACATACACACACACACATACACACACACACACACACACACATACATGCATACATGTGTACATATGCCACACATACGATGCACAGATGACAATCATTACTAACACTACACTTTACACTCACATACACTATGATGCACTTGCACACCACATTAGGCCACACACAACATCATTGGCAATCCTTACTTGCACTCTACACAAGCATGATGAACACACACACACATACAACTTACTCACATACAGAACATACACCACCCACATTAATTGATAATCCTTAGCACTCTGTGTACGTATACATATGTACATAAAGATCAGATGTGAAATGACAGATGAGACTCTTAATGATGAGAACAGAACGACAGATTAGATGACCATGGTAATAATGAGAATGGAACGACAGATAAGAACAAAGAAAGGAAGAATGTAACGGCAGTCAATAAAACACTAGTGCATCAATCCACGAAAACTGTGCACCGTTCTCCCCCCGGAGTGACAGATGACAAGGCCAGAGATGAGAAGGAATCCACGAACAATGTAATGGCACTTCAGAATCAAATCATCATCGACAGGTCTCCCACCCACAATACCACATCATACTTAACCCTATCCGTATGCATGTGGTCATTTTGTACGCCATGGGTTGTATTCTTCATATTTTAGAATACTTTTAGGGCGAAGATCTCTAAAAAAAAACTTTCAGTTTTTCTCAAAAAATCATTTTGACAGACTGCTATGCAAAGCGTACGATCAAGTAAATTTCTTCTTTGAAAGTGGGGGCACAGAATTCCCCACGTCGTATGGAAACAATAGTAAAACACGATGTACAGATAGGGTTAACGCACATCCTAGACAAACTACAATTCTATGTAGTAATTTTCAAGCAGTGAAGAAGAAAAAAAACCCTATTGCAATCAGATTTTGATTCGTCAATTTTTTTTTTTACAGGGTACATTTCTAAAAACTCAGTATAATCAAATTTCAGTCCAGCAATATTTCTTTCATTGAGAATGAAAAACACAACCAAAACAAGTCAAAGAAGTCAGATTTCAATTCAATACAGCAATTATTTCATGCTGAAACCGAAAAAAGGGGGAAAAAAAAGAAAAGATGACCCCTACAAACGATCCTCACGTCGGAGCAGGCTGGGCAGAGTTCTCAAGTTGTGATCCCACGCTAGCTCCATCACCATTAACCCTATCCGTACGTCGTGTTTTACAATAGTATCCATACGACGTGGGGAACTCTATGCCACCACTTTCCAAAGAGGAAATTTACTCGTTAACCCGATCCGTACGCTTTGCATAGCAGTCTGTGAAAATGATTTTTTGAGAAATACTGAAAGTTTCAAAGAGATCTGCATACTGGAAGTATTCTAAAATATGAAGAATACAACCCTAGGGGTACAAAATAACACCAGGGCGCACGGATAGGGTTAAAGAACAAATACACAGAGCAGATCTCACAAGACAAATCCTCGTCTGCAACAACTTTAAGTCCATCATCAAAGCTTCCAGGTGGGAAATTTTACACTCCCATCGACACTTTAGATCATTTAGGAGGCAGGCTTCTGACCCTGCCTGTCAGGGACAACCCGGGCTGAGAAGGAAACAACATCCCAGCTGAAAGACTGAGGTGCTCGATAAAAATCCTCCCCACTTCGGAGTCGAACTCAGGTCTCCTGTGTGCAACAGCAAAGCAGCTTACCACTCTACCACAAACGCTGATTTAACTGACAGAGTGACCGACATAAAAGTCGCGGGAAATTCGGGACAGTTGCCGATCTTGCCGTCAGAATTTGACAGTGGACAAAAACATCTGATCCGACATGAGTCAGAACAAAGTCTCTCTCATCAATCAACAGCCTGCAAGCACCAGAGTTAGTTTAGTTTTAGTAGAGGTTTTACGGCGCTTGCAACTGCATAAGGTCATATGAGCGCCAGAAGATTAGAGGTGTTACAAGAGAGTAACAAACATAAAAAAGAAGAAGGAGAGATAAGGATGATAGATGTTTCATAGGAAAGAAGAAGCAAACCACACCAGAGCACCCGCCAACCACCCACAAGAGAGTATAAGAGCATCTACAACAGGTGAGAGAGAGATGGGAAGGTTTTCCTCCGTGGGTCAACCCACGGGTCAGACAGATATATGGCACAGACGGGTCGCTCCACCCAGCACCCGAAATACTCAAGGCAAAATCTGCTCGACATGGTCTGGCAATGCTGCCATTAGAATTGAAAACCTAGTACTTACATGTAGTCTATCTGACAAAACCTAGTACATTCATGTAGTCTATCTGACAAAACCTAGTACTTACACATAGTCTATCAGACAAAACCTAGTACATACATGTAGTCTATCAGACAAAAACCTGGTACATACATGCATCTGACAAAAATAAAAATCTAGTATACATGTAGTTTACCTGACGAACCTAGTACATACATGTAGTCTATCTGACAAAACCTAGTAGATACATGTAATCTATCTGACAAAACCTAGTACATACATGTGGTCTATCTGACAAAGCCTAGTACATACATGTAGTTTAATCAGACAAAACGAAGTGTTTTCACAAACAGGAAAAAAACCCACAACAAATTGTTACTCTCAGAAACGTTTGCAATGTCTGTATAGTTATCAAATAGAGAGGTATCTGTTTCTAACTAAGACACACAGATGTATACTTTTAAACTAAAATCAAATCTCATTCTCTAAAAGTTGATTTTTTCACACATTTGCATATACTTGGTTTTCCACTCAAAAGACAAAACGGGTCAAGTGGCCCAAAACTGTCCGGGCCAAGCGGGTTAACGGGTCATGTGACCACAACACCACGGTATTGAAGGTATGGTGGTCAGGGAAACCCCTGGACTTGGTTCAGTCTATAAAGTGTTGGTGTCGCGTAGAGCTTTTTTTTAATACAGAGAAGCACAATAAGGCAATATCGCTCATTTAGTGCAGGGAAGACCCAAATGCACAGACAGAAACAACAGCAGGAAAAAAACAAACCAATAGGACCTAACAGTAGCGCCCTCCAACCACCCGCGTTTAAAAGTAGGGAGACCAAACACAACTACAGCTTGCTACCCTCGGTGCAGCGTTTACCTTATTCGTGCACGACTTTGATTCTCATTTTTCACCATTTCGGCAGAAATTCGCGAAATATTAAAATGGGCATATGCTGCAACGGAACACATGACACTGGCTGACTTCAAAACCCCTGAAGAAAAAAAAACCCCAAACAAGCAAAGTGAAAAAAAAAACCCAAACAAGCAAAGTGAAAAAAAAGCAACTTGTGAACAAAACCCAGCTATAAAGTACGTCTGTGTGCGGGCACCCCAGTGAACACGTGGTCAGCTTTGAACCCCAACCATCCACGCACAGAACACAGACACATCACCGACACTGTCTATAGATTTGTCACCCAGGGGAACACTGTGTATGTGTCTCATCACTTTGTCGGTGGCCACAAGGTCACAGGCTCAAGGTCACGTGCTGTGGGTGACCTGCACTAGATCACAGAATAACATGAAACTGATCCAACCTGCCCTAGATAGTACCAGAAGTACCCTTGTCAAGTTTACGGGTGTTAGCTGTATAAAGTTTACCGGTATCCTTGTCAAGTTTAGGGGTGTTAGCTGTATAAAGTTTACCGGTAGCCTTGTCAAGTTTACGGGTGTTAGCTGTATAAAGTTTACAGAAATATCTTTGTCAGCTTTACTGGTAACACTGTTAAGTTTACGGGTTATTTTTGTCAAATTTATCGGTATCCCTGACAAGTTCTCGGGTGTCTTTGTCAAGTTTACACAGGTATCACAGTCAAGTTCACACAAGTTTACACAGGTATCATTGTCAAGTTCACACAAGTTTACACAGGTATCACTGTCAAGTTCACACAAGTTTACACAGGTATCCCTGTCAAGTTCACACAAGTTTACACAGGTATCCCTGTCAAGTTCACACAAGTTTACACAGGTATCACAGTCAAGTTCACACAAGTTTACACAGGTATCCCTGTCAAGTTCACACAAGTTTACACAGGTATCACAGTCAAGTTCACACAAGTTTACACAGGTATCCCTATCAAGTTCACACAAGTTTACACAGGTATCCCTGTCAAGTTCACACAAGTTTACACAGGTATCACAGTCAAGTTCACACAAGTTTACACAGGTATCCCTGTCAAGTTCACACAAGTATTATTGTCAAGTTTACTGCCCTCGTCCCCACAAAGAGAAGCACCATCACTCCCACCACTCCTGGTCGCAACTCGCGACGACTGACTGGCTTACGTTTGACCTTCAACCTTCAGTGCGTGCCCGGCACCGTGTTCCCCAGAGGTCAAAGGTAAACTGTCCATCTCGTCCTCGTCGCTGCTGTCTATTTCTGGCTTGACGGAGATGGCCGAGCTCGAGTGGAAGCCGCTGCTCGCGTCGCTGGAGGAACTCTGGTTCAGGCTGGTGCCCGCATCTGTGTGCGGGGGTGGGGGGGAGGCAAGGGGTCGTGGGGAGGTCAGGGGTGGTGGGGGGGAGGTGCGGGAGCCCACGACAGAGGAGGTGGTGGGGAACTGGGGCTGGGAAGAAGCCACGGACAGAGCGAGGGGCAAGGTTGAGGGTTCGGAGCCGGCGTGGCCCCCTGTGGCTGTCTGTAACATGGACATCGCCAAGGCGTCCAGCTGGGGGTTGCCACTTCCTGTGACCCCTGACCCTGCCAGGAGCCTCGGGTCCGACAAGTTGCCCAAGAGTCGGTGGCTCTGCTCCGTCATGAGGTCGTTGAAAGTGGGCAGGTAGGAGATGGGTTTGGCTTTCACCCGGCTCGGCAAGATCACTTTCTCCGTCTCTATTCCTCCTGGCCATGCAAACGGGCAGTAAAAAACAACAAAAAACATCAAATATGAGGAAAAAAAACCCAACATTTGTGCGTGTGTGTGTGTGTGAGAGAGGGGAAACAAACAAAACATTAGTGTGTGTGTGTGTGTGAGGGGAGAGAAGGAGAGAAGCAAAAACATTAATACTAATTTTTTTAAAGATGTTTTCAACCCCAATCTCCACTATTTAGATCATTTAAGAAGCGGGCTGCTCTGACTCTGCCTTAGTTTTAGTAGAGGTTTTAAAGCACTCGCACCTGCACAAGGTCATTTGAGCGCCAGAAGATTAGAGGTGTTACAAGAGAGTAACAAACACAAAAAAGAAGAAGGGGAGATAAGGACGATAGATGTTCGATAGGAAAGAAGAAACAAACCACACCAGAGCACCCGCCAACCACCCACTGACTCTGCCTGACAGGGCCAACCAAAGCTAAGAGGAATACAACAACATCCCAGAAGACAGAAGGAGATACTCGATAGAAAACCTCCCTAAACAGGAACTGAACTCACATCATCAGCATGCAATGGTGGAGTGTCTAACCGCTACGGTACACCACACGATGCCGATGACACAAACAGAGAACAGACACAAACATACCCCCGGGACGGTGCTACTTATTGAAGAGTCTTTAGGCCATTCCCAAAGGGGACATTAACCTTGTTCGTATGCACATTAGAATTGTAATTATAAATGTAATCCATCAAAGTCATGCTCATAACTGGGCCTGAACTGCAAAAGGGTACTGCTGCTTTTTCTTTCCTAATCCTTACTATCGTCATTTTTCCTCTACTTCAGGGTGCCTTGATAGTTGAAGCAGATTTTGCACTGCAGAAATTAGAGAGGTGAGCAGAGTAAGCCTGATTCCCTGTAAGGACTTTTCTGTAGACATCAACCCCTTGGCGCCCATATGACCTTATGCAGTTGCAAATGCTGCAAAACCTCTACTAAAACTAAACTAAGACACAAACAGAGAAACTTGTCACTCACTAGTCCACTCCACAGACACAAACAGAGAAATCTGCCTTCATTCACTGACCAAGAACAAAAGTAAAATCTTCCTCTTTTTTTTCATTTTTATGTTGGTGTCTTTTTGCTCTGATTGACACAGCCCGAGCTGAGAGGGATACAACATCCTAGCAGAAAGAACGATACACTTGATACAAATTTCTCTCCCCACTTGGGAATCAAACTTGGGTCTCCTGCATGCAACAGCGAAGCACCTGACCACTACACCACAAACACAAGTTTTTTCTTTTGTTCTAGTAAGTGTTTTACGGCACTTGCTACACAATAAGGTCATATAAGTGCCAAAGATTAGAGGTGTTACAAGAGAGTAACAAACACAAAAAAGAAGGAGGGGAGATAAAGACGATGTTTGATAGGAAAGAAGAAGCAAACCACACCAGAGCACTCGCCAACCACCAAATGACAAATACAGAGAGAGACGTACCTATTTTGGCCAGCCTCTTGATCTCCTTCCTCCTGTTACTGAACCAGTTGGACACATTGAACGGGGTCATCTTCTCCTTCTCTCCCAGCTCTCTGTCACCTGAGGGGACGGGGGGAGGAACAATGAGAAAGGTCAAAATCTATTGGTCAAACCATCATCACATGCGTCTATCACGACATGAAGGAATCAGGCGCCTGTCAATTTTGGGGCATATTATACAGTTATTGTAAGACCATAATGCTTGTTCATTAAGTTCAAAGCGAGAAAATGGATGCCAAAGTTTGGTAACTTCCAGAGCTTTTTCTTTTTAGTAAGTGTTTTACGGCACTTGCAACACAATAAGGTCATAAAATGCCGAAAATTAGAGGTGTTACAATAAAGTAACAAAAACAAAAAAGGAGAAGGGGAGATAAGGATGATAGGTTTTTCATAGGAGAGAAGGAGCAAACCACACCAAAAGAAGGAGGAGAGATAAGTACTATAGATGTTTGATAGGAAAGAAGGAGCAAACCACACCAGAGCATCCGTCACTGACACAGCAGCTGCGGGCACTTACAAACAAATAAACACTGAAAAAAACAAACAAATGACCAAATATCCAACCCTCCCCCCCTCCCCTCTGTCTCTCCGAGTGGCGACTCACGTGAGGCTGCCATGGCCAGGTTGCACTCATTGGCGATGTGCTCCTTCTCCTCCGGCGTGGGGTACTGCACTTTCTTAAAGAACGTCTCCAAAACTTCCAGATGTTTCTCTCGGAACATAAATCTTTCTCGTCGAGGCGTGAAGTTGACGCCCAGCCCTTCCGGCCCTGGAATAGAATTGCTGATAAGTCTTTCCTCACAACGACACATTTGTCAAATGTCATTGATATTTGATTTGTGTGTTGAGCACAAAATCTACTCTATTTTCACTCTCTTCTGTAAAATGTGCAGTCTTTCTGTTTAATCTTTAGTTTTAGTAAGTTTTTATGGCGCTCGAAACTGCATAAAGTCATATGAGCGTCAAGGGGTGGATGTCAACAAAGAAGTCTAAACAGGGAATCAGGCTTACTCTGCTCACTTCTCTAGCCTCAACAGCGCAAAGTCTGCTTTGACTATCGAGGCAACCCGGAAATAGCAGTTCACAAGAGAGTGACAAACATACAAAAGAAGTAGAGGAAAAGTGACGATAGTAAGGATTAGGAAAGAAAAAGTAGCAGTTCCCTGTTGCAATTCAGGCTAAGTTATGAGAATGACATAGATGAATCAGCCTATTTACAATTACAATTCCACTGTGCATAAGAACATGGTTAATGTCCCCCCCTTTGGGAATGGCCTAAAGACACTTCAGTCAATGTAAAATCTTCTGTAAAATGGGCAGTTTTTCTATGATGTGGGCCAACAGCCTTACACACTAAATACAACACCTGCCTTCCTCTCAATGACAACACACAAGTACAAAACAATTCTATTTCAAAGAATTTTTTACAAATACAAAGGAATGTTTATAACAGTTTCCCAATTCTAAATTGAGTATTTCACATTTTCTGTCCCTGGGCATGTTATGGAAACCGCTGCAACTTTTGGTGACTACAGATGGTTAGATCTACAATTGCACACTGACGTCAGGACTGATATTCTCCATCATTAAAACTTTAGAAAAACCTTGAAAAGGACAACAATATTGTCTGTAAAAGAAAACGAAAAGAAAAGGAAAACCCTTCTTGTGAATCCTTCATTTTCTTCAAATGCCAGAACAGACATTTGCAATTATAGTTCGTCCCTCATTTTTCTACTTGGATGCACTCAACACCCCCCCCCCCCTCTTTCCCCCGGGGGGTGGCTGTCTAGGGCAGTTTCAACTGTCCTTGACTCTCTGTTGCCCTCTGACCTTGCATGCGGAGCATGAGGCTAAGCTCGGACTGGAACCACTCGGTCCTCTTGAGGTGGAAGAGGAGCCACTCCAGGACTTTGTACTTGACGCCCAGCTCCAGAGCCTGGAAGTCGCCCGATAGGACATGGGTCAGGCCTGTCTCTGTCATACCTGGCGGGATATCATACACAGGTCAAGGTTGTATCACACAATACAAAGGTCAAGGTCATGTCACAACACAAAGGTCAACGTCGTGTCACCAGGAGGGGCGGGCATGAAATAACGTACCATAATATGTATATTATTGCGTTACTGAGCTACATAACTTCGGCATAACCAGCATCTGTGGTGCAGTGGTTAGTCACTTCCCTGTCACACATAGGAGACCATGAGTTCGATTCCCAAGTGTGGAGGAATTTTTATCGAGTATCTAGGTCTTTCTGCAGGGCCACAGCGCCGAATCAGCGGTCGTTTAGTTTCGCCAGGCCGTACGCTGCTAGGTCAGTGTGACCGGGGTCAGCTACCGGTCAGTCTACCTGCGCTCACTCCACGCGCGGAGTTACATACCACAGCAATTTTACAGTTTTGTTTCAACGCTCACGAATTAAAGCATGATTATCAATATACACATAGTGTTCCATCTTTGAGTTTCTTCTTTCAATGTAAAGTTTGTGAAAACGCAACGAAGATATCTAGTATAGTTTTTTAACTGCATGTGATCAAATACAGCCGTCTTACATGAGGGAATTAAGGTAATATGCACCGAATTAAAAGTTATGTAACTACCAAAGTGCGGGAATAAATTTACTAAAACTTGCTCAAAATAAAGACAATTAAAATGGATATCTACTTACCAAAGGACATCATTGTTGGAACATTAGTAATCCACATTTTTGCATTTTCGTTCGAGAGCCAAATTCGTCAGGCTTGTGATGAAATTCACATTACAATATCCTTCGTTAAATTAATGACACAGATCTCTTTACACATTTTGTACAGTAGATCTATACACTTATCTATGGCGCCGTGGTTGTTTTCTCGGTGCCTGCAGTGAAGGTGCTCTCTGGAGCAAATTAACGTGCGTCCATAACGTATCGTAGTTTTTCCGTATTGTTTACGATGCCTTGAACCCACTTTTCAATTTTTAAAATAGACTTGTGAAAGCTTTCGGTTCCTTTTCTCCCAGCAGGCCCAAGCCAAAGCCGTGTTGTGTTAAGGATGGAATGCAGTGTTGTTCTAAATTGCGCTGTTTGGGGATTTTCTGTTTTGGAAAATGTTTTCTGTACAGCTTCATGTACGTGTCTATTGCTGTCTGAATTCCAGGAATAGAGATTTTCGGAATAGGTGCACTGTATGCTTGGTTGAGAGAGTTGAAAATCAAACCTATAGCGTGCGCTTTGTCAACAATGATTGGATGATAAAATATCCCTTGGCAGTGACTCATATGTCCTAGCCTTTCTTATCAGCCTCTGTTGTACTTTAATCACGTTCTTACACCCGCAAACGCGGCAAAGTTCATTCAGGGAGAAGGAACGTCTCCCGTGTGTGCTCCTTTGGGAGATTTCAGTAAACCTGTTAGAAATGAATCACGGGCAAATGGATTCTACCTCATATCGTAACACGGCTTAATCAACAAAGATGAAATTTATACTCATTAAGCACAAATATATCTGCCTTTCATAGAAACAACAATCTAAGAAATTAACGGAGAAGTGTTGAACTTAAAACAGCATAGAATCCAGAATACATAATTGCACGGGTCAATTAACAAGGCATTGAATGAGAATCAGATGTAAGCGACTTAATATTGTTAGAACTATTCTTCAAACAATGATGAAAATTACACATGTAAAGCACAAATATGTCATAAGTGCATGTACCAAAATTTGTTGAGATTGAGCGAGCACTTTGGAAATTAAAAGTGAATTAAGTGCAGCACATATTAAATTCGATGAAATTCACAACATTTTGCACACACTGTAACATCGGCAAATATCGTCGCATTGAGATTGGGTTTTCGCAGACTGAGAGGGGGAATCTCGCTCTTTTCTTATTGTATGGAATAATTCGTGGTTAGGGTGAGGATACCGCCGATAATTAGTGTCAAAAGTGTCGATTATGCCATGACCTGCCCGCCTGTAGCTGATGCGCAACGGAGCGGCCAGTGACCCCCGCGTTACCCGGCACGGAGCGGTTCCGACGGTGATTTAATGACTTCCAGATGTCGCTGGCCTGGGAAACTAAGAGGCACGATTTCGGCCAGTTTTCGGCGCTGTGTTGTATCCCTCTCAGCCAGGATTCGCTCTGACAGGCAGTATCAGAAATCTGCATCCTATATAATCTAAACTATGTCGATGGGAGCGTAAAAAAAGGCCCTCTATATTTAAAAAAAACTGTTGCATACATAAGTGAGTTTGATTCGTTCACGGGGAACTTATTCGTTGCACCAAGAGCTCCATCTGTCTGCTGAAAAACTGTCTCTCACTTGCACCGGGCAGGCCCTGACTGACAGGCAGGGTCGACGTACGCTGCCACTTCATTTGTCTAAATTGTGTCAATGGGGGTGACATAAAACATCAAAAGTGAAAATGACAACACACACAGATATGTACCAGTCGAAAATGAATAGTTGAATTTGCCTAAGACAGTCACCGGTTGTGGAAGAGAAAGTGGTTGTCTTAGGCAGATGGAGTCTTACAGTGTTGTTATATTGTAATGTAAAAAATACACAAGGGGGGAAATGAGAATAGGCCATCAGTACAGATCATTGTCTTATACAGGTGGCCTTTAGATCAGGTTGGCCTGTATTTCTGTGACCGAGCGTGTCATACCTGGAATGGAAGACACCTGTGTCGGGTTGAAGTCGGGGAGAGAGACAACACACCGCCTGATCAGCTCCATCATGTTCTCCGGCGTTTGGCTGACGAGGATACAACAACAAGAACTTTGTCACTTTTTAATTTATTTTTTTAAATAAGTGTTTTTACGCCCCGCACCCATTGACAGTTTACCCCCCCCCCCCACCTCCCGCCCCTCAGATGTGACAGTCCGACCCTAGGAGATACCCTGGTAGGGAAGGGGTTAAGCCGGATGTAGCTAGTTATTCACTTTGGTTGGTCACGGAAACAACCCTCTCCCCCCCCATCGGCACGCTATTTGTGTAATTCCTTCTCCTTTCCCTTCGTCAGAATAGACTTGCATGTTTACATCACACCAAACCCCCCCCCCCCCCCCCCCCCCCAATTTAAATACACCTTAACACTAAACACACACAAACACACTCACATATACGTGTACACACACTCACACACACACAAACAAACAAACACACAAACACACACACACATACACAAACACCCTGTTGAATGGCTATTCTCCACAAACAGGGAATACAGAAATGCTGATCTCACCTGAGGTGGAGCTCTAGGTTTTTGCACAAATTCTACGGTATTTGCAACACAAACAGGTCATATATAATAATAAGTGATGAACATTAGGGGTGGTACCAGAGAGTAACATACAAACAAAGAAAAGAAGGAGGGAGAGATAAGGATGATAGATGTTTGCTAGGAAAGAAGAAGCAAACCCCAGCAGAGCACCCACCAACCTGAGCAATTGCCAACCACCCACCAAACTGAGCACCCATCAACCACCCACCAAACTGAGCATCCGCCAACCCCTCACCAACCTGAGCACCCGTCAACCACCCACCAAACTGAGCACACGTCAACCACCCACCAAACTGAGCACTCGTCAACCACCCACCAAACTGAGTACCCGCCAACCCTCCACCAACCTGAGCAGAATCTCCATGCACTTGTCAGTGTCAAACTCCAGCGGGACCGGCTCCAACTTCACCGGGAAGTTTGGAGTGGGCCGACAGCTGTTGCTCGTGTTGTTGTCAGTGTTGCTGATGTTGTTGTTGTTGCTGCATTTGTTGCTGTCACCATTGCCATTGCTGTCCGGGGTGGTGCTGCTTGACTGGACCTCTGCACACACAAGAGACACACGCCCATCATGTTTATGATGATAACGGAAAGATAATAATAATAATATAATAATAATAATAACAATAGCAAAAGCATTTATACAGCCCTTATCCACACCCAACAGCAAGCTCTCTGCGCTTTACAACTATTATTACCCCATTGGACCCAAGAACACTCAGAAACGTTCTTGGCTTCCCACGAAGCATACAGTGCAAGCAGCAGTCTAACTCTAAGCACTCAAATGCTGACAAACTGACAGGATCAGCACAGAGTAGAGAGAAAAGCACACAAGATGCAATAAAGTGGCGTCAGTCAGTGGCCTAGTGGTTAGGCTACCGGACTCGTAATCGTGAGGTTGCACGTTTGGGGGTTCAAGTTGCAGGCCCGCATTGTGTCCTTGGGAGAGGCACTTTACACGAACTTTCTTCCCTTCACTCACATGGGAATGTGTACCCAACCATAAACAGCAAAAGATCTTGTCAATATGTTAGTCTTTTAGCGCCCATAAATGGTAGCTTGCAATGTATGCTTCACAGGGAGTTGAGATTGTTTTAGACTGCTCTCATGTCTGCTGGGATAACAGTAGGCCTATAGATTGTGAAGCGCATAGAGCTTGTTGTTGAAAGGGAGTTTGTGAAATACATATATGTTATCTATTGATTATCACAGCCAAAATTGTTTAAGATGACTGAGAAAACTGGCAACCTTAGACAAGAGGATGTCTTATGCTGTGTCGTTGTAATGTACCAAAAAAAATGCAAGGGGGGAAATGAGAGGTGGCTATTTGTACAGATGATTGTTTCACAGAGGTGGTCACTAGAGCAGGTTTATTTGTATTTTGAGGAGGTGAATTCATTTGTAGGATGGTTTGGGGGATTACTAATACTATCTGAAACTAAAAGCTAAATGTGAGTAAAAACAATGAGATAACTTCCTTTGTACTGGAAGATTCCCGACTCGGGGTGACAACGTACCGGCAATAGTCCCGCCATTGACAGCTTTACTGTGATGATTGGTGGGCGGCGTTGACCCTTTGAACCCGGCCGGGTGTGGGTAGGACGAGGCACCGGGGCTGTGGAACGTCCCGCCAGGACCTGATGCTCTTCTTGGGGGCTGAAAGAAAGAACATCCTTGCACAATTACTGACAAGAACATGAACATAGAACACCCTTACACTTACCGACAAAAAACATGAACAGAAGAACATCCTTACACAATTACCAACAAGAACATGAAAGGAAGAACATCCTTACACAATTACTGACAAGAACACGAACAGAAAAATACCAAAACACCTTTATCAAGACCAGAAACACAAAAACACAAATACCACTTTGTGGACTAAGTACATATAACCAGTCCTCCCCCCCCCCACCCCCCACCCCCTCCCACCCCCCCACCCCCCACCCTCCCATGGCCGCCAGTTCGCGGACACACCTTTAGTACAACATGCTGCTCTATTTCTTTTCTCTAAGTCACTGAGAGCACCATCATCCTGGGAGGGAGTGTGCAAATGGTAAAGTCCTTAAAAAGTCTGTTTTTCTACCATTCTTCTCTAGAACTCTTAAATTTAATTAAGTAAAAAACAAGTAAAAATCCTAAACTTTGTAAAAAATATCAATATATCCAAAATTGATGTTCAAAGCGAAATACAAAATGCGTGTATGTGAAAGCTTAAAGAATGAAATAATCTTCCACTACTCAAAATGAGGACTTTATCAGCCTTGTTATAACATATCGGAGTCTTCAGAACCCCAGTAGATTAAGATTGCACAATAAACAGAGTGGCTAATAAATGAGTAATTTACACGTCAAAAAATGCAAATAAAGAGACATAATTTCTTGTTAATTACGATAGGTCACATACAACATACGGAAACAGAATTCAAGAAAAAAATAGAAGATTAAATGCAAATCTGACAGGGGTTTGACAGGTTTTTAAAAAATCGGAGCTCTGATTTTTTTTTTTGTCAGAGTTGTAGGCAGGTCGGTGTATGGAAACACAAGTACCGGAGGAGCAGCAGAGGTGTTGCTGGAAGGCACGGGACTAGTGTAGAGCGAGCCCAGGTCCGCATCGATCCGCTCAAAGGCTTGGAAAGCCTCGATGATTTGCTGGCAGGTCACGCCACTGTTCCTTAGACGTCGGATCAGCTCAAACTGTTCCACCGTGAACGTTCGTTTGGAAGACGCCATCGCTCAGGGGGAGGCCGCGGAGGAAATCTTTCACTCATCAAAACCCTGAAACAAAGGAGAAAAACAGAACTGTGAAAGTGACAGGCACTACGAACAAATATGTTCCAACCGCCAACTGCAACAAAAACTTTAAGTAATTAGATTAGAAGAAGTGATTTACTTAGTTGACCTTGTCTAAGAAGACAACGGCCACCCATGGTTTATCGTCCAGGACAAAAGTGAGCGTCTTAAACAGCAGGACATCTTACACAGTGTCATTTACACTGTAAAAAATAATGCAAGGCAGTTGGGGGAATGGGAAGCGAACGTTTATTCCACTATGTACAATATGACACCTTCAGCACCATGGCAACATCAAAATTGCTGCAAACAAACACCTCATCCTTGCATTCTTCAGACCTCCCAGCAGACGTTTCCAGTTTAAAACATTTTAGAATCTAGCTCATTTATAAATTTTCCGATGTGCACGAAACTTTGCACGGGACTCCAGTAGACAATGTAACCTTGCCTACAAATTATTCATTTTGAGGCAGGCCCTGAACCTAAATTATGAAAAATTACATTGTTCAATATGGGGTGCCCACTACGGATGGGATTGGCCGATCGATCGGGCCGATCGCCCGACTCGATCGCCTCAAAAACAAACGTGTTTGTTTTTCTAGTTTCAGGCGATCGAGTCTGGCGATTGGCCCGATCCAGCCATAGTGGGCACCCCGTATTACAGGTGTATCAATAGAGTGCGGCTGAGACGCAAGACTCCGCAACATTGAGATAGATGTTTGATCCTGTCACTGACTAGTGTTGGTTTTCTGGACTCAAGCTCAAGCGTTGGGTTACTAGTCTACTCAGTCTACTGTCTACCACTGACGTTTACCCTGTCCCACACAACTGGCACAATAGTCACCTCCAACGTTCTAGATATATTAAATTTCACAAAAACTTTACCCGACTTTCACAGTGTTAGTAGATGTATTCTAAGCACACACTGCACATCAACAATACTGTCAATACCAAAATATTATCAAGTGTAATAAATAAGCTCAGAGATAGAATCTAGAGTCGTCTGAAGTGTCTGTCTCAGTCTGAAGGAGGTTAGGCCTAGTTCAGCAAGTTTGGGAGTTTGGGGAGAAGTTAACAAGTTCTAGATTCTAGACATGGATCAAGCGCAATTCCAAAACAAAACATATCTAGAATCTAGATTTAGAGATCTAGATCTAAGATCATCTAGATCTTCAAGTATCTAGATCTAGATCTAGATCTAGATCTTGTAGAAAAAAAGGCCCTAACTGACCTCGAGTAAGAAGCACAGACTTGGGCGACTTTGGTGTCTGCTGTGTGGTAGAAGGAGAGAGGGTTAAAGTAAACAACAGGTGAGGGTGGGTGGAGGAAGGTTGTCACTGCGCATCAACCTGAGGTGTCCTTTACAGAGACACAAACCTACCTTTGATATCTCACATATGCTCACACTTGATCTGTCATTTGTGTCAAGCACGAATGCCAACCATAACATGGCCACCAGACCAGGTCAACTTATCTATGTCGTCGAAACCGAGGCTAGGCTTAATCCAAACTATAACAGACCGGTGGACGGACCCAGGTTAGGGTAACACAGCCCAGATTTTTATCACGTCTGAAAAAAGCTAATCAAAGTCAGCTGTGGGGTAAAACATCCTCCCTTTAGCCAAGGTGAGTTTCCAAAATAAGTCCAATATTCTTTTTTATTATATTTTGGGTGAATACATTTTTTCTTCTATGTCAGAAATTTACATTGAAGTTTACTTTGTTTCAAGTAGAATAGTTTCGCTATAAAATCTCATTGCCATCCCAATCTGAACCATCGTTCTCGCAAATCAGGGGGAGGATATTTTAACCGATCAAAACAAGACTACCACGTGCTTTGTACAAACATTTCAAACTAATTTTATGAACAACGCGCACACAAACGATTTGAGTGACTAATATAAAAGCACAAAATAAATTGTGTCTGTACACTGACAAAGTATTGTTCATCGCCGTTTGTTACCATAATAATAATAAAAGCACGACCTCTTCTTTCCGGGGGAGTTTGAAGGAACAGCTGGCGGTCGGTGTTCTCTCTGGTATCTAAGCGCTTGCTCAACGTACGGGAGGTGGTTGCTTCCTTCAGTCGTGATCCCCTAGAGATTGAAACAGCCGACGATGGTGAAGAATGAGTGGCGTTGGTGATGACAAGGAAAATGAAGATTCTAATGTGCAAAATACAGCAGCACTTGTAAACGGACAAAACGGTAAGCTAGAAACTTGGCTGGAGACCGCGGTAACTAAGGAAGCTCTTGCGAGTGGTGCTAATGAAGTAGATCTAGGCCCTAATGAAGTGCTAAGCGTTAGTGCTGACAAAATGGGCAAGACCGTAACAGGAGATGGGGGTGAGGTTGCACACGATGAAAACGTTGAAGAGAAAAAGGAAGTTGTTGACAATGATGTAAATTCTCAGGATCAGGATGGTGAAAAGATGGACAGTCAGGAGAAAGAGGAAGCGATGGATGTTAGTCAGGTAAAGAGCAAAGAAGATAGCAATGCTGTTCCCGACTTAGACAATGCGTGTCCAGATGAACAATGCGAGGACGAGGCGGCGCCCAAAGCCATGAGCATAGAGATCAAAGACAAATCTTCCAAACAGCCGGACGATGTGAACCACTTTGATTCCGTGTCTAACATCAAGTCACATCCGGACAAGGAGAAGAAAGACACAAAGAAAGATGTGAAGATAATGGATGAGAATAAGCCCGAGAAGTCCACGTTGAACCAGTCCTCCTCACAGGCAAACCAAAGTCGACAAGCTCAGACGTCCAGATTAAAAAAGATGAAAAAGGGAATTTTTGTGTCGTATTCTCCTGATGCAGGGTTTTTGGAGCGAAGGTTTGTTGTCGAAACTGTACGGCAATTAAAAGAAAATAATCTAGCTGAAGATATATGGTTTGACAAAGATGAGAAAAACACTGATAATCCTTGTTGGTTTTCAATGCGAATGGAGGCGGTGGAGAAATGTCGGGCAGCTATACTGATATTTTCAGACAGTTACTTCACGTGTCCTGTGTCCTTGTATGAAGGGAAAGCTTTGATTGAAAGGCTCGCTATGGATTCTCAAGCTCTCAAGATTTTCCCCATTCTGTACCGACATCCAGATATCACAGATGTCCCCAAGCAGTTCTGTGACTTTCTGGATGCTGCCATTGACCTCACTGGGGAGCACGCGAAGAAAAGTGCAGCCGAGAAAACTTCGGTGGTTGTCGGAGCAATCATGGAGGACCTGGAGAAATATGCTACGATACATAGCGCTCCTTTGCCAGTCTCTCCCCCCGATTCTGAATTCACGGGAGAATTTAAGAAGAGGAAAATCTGTCAGTGGAGTGCTAGTGATCTTCAGGAATGGTTGTTTAACCTGGGCATTAAGGAATTCTACCGCCAAAGTCTAGCGGAGGCGATGGTCGACGGTTTTCTGCTTATGTCTCTCACAGATCATGACATGGTAGCCCACCTTGGAATCGAGAGTCGGGTGGTTCGTAAGAAAATCATGCAGCAGATTCTGCACACACTGGACCGGGAACATAAACTGCCGGACAACTGGCACCTGCGAGCCCGCGCCCAGCGAGCCAAACCTGACGTGGTGTACATAATCTACGACCCGGCTGACGTCAGACTGGCACAGAACCTCAAAGCTGACCTCAAAGCAAAGAACATGCAGGTAAAATCAGATAAAATAAGGTAAAATAAGATATACTTTATTGTACCATAACTAACTTCTTATATTTGACAACACTTGCAATTATCACGTCTTTAAGTTTGCAAGATTGGTGTTGTGGTGTAGCGGTTAGGGGCTTATCGTATCGCACACAGGAGACCTGATTTTGATTCTCTTGTGAGGAGAAATTTTTATCAAGTATCTCAGTCTTTCTCCTGGGATGTTGTATTCCTCTCAGCCCTGGGTGGCCCTGACAGGCAGAGTTTAAAACCCACTTCCTATATGATCGAAATTTTGTCAGGGTGGCATAAAACACCTACATTTTTAAGAAAGGGTTGGCAAGTTAATACACTCTGAAGACAGCAGGTAATTATATAAAACCAGGATTGTGAAGTTCAAAGGTTCACTCACTGAGCTACAGTTTTAGGGCGTTACTTTAGCCCAACAATATTATTAAATAGCTACATCTGACCTTTTTTTTTTTTGCACTAATTTCTCTACTTTGATCTTTTCTCTATTTATGAGAAACATCAGGAAGGGAATCTATTTTTAAAATCTCTGCTCTGTTCTGTTTTTCTGCATCACATCACATTTCTAAACTAACTTCCCTTCTGGATGGTGTGTACATGAACTGGGTTCAATTTTTTTTTATACTTCTTACAACTTTTGATTGCCCTAAATAATATGTATCGTTCATGTATGAAGGCCTACATACATAAGTACATATTATATATGTTTTATACATAATATTTGTACATGTGCTAGCAATTGTCGAGGAAAGAAGTGGCCATCCAAGATAGGTTCAACAGTTCAGTACACACACAC